GGTACACATTCTTCATGGCTGCAACCTCCCACACAGAACCAGCCTCCTCCTTCAATCCTGATTTGTGAAGAAAATCTACCACAGCATCAATGAGTCCTCGTTTGCTTTCTCTGTCTTCACTGTGCATCACGTCCAGGAACCTTCCCACGTGATCCCGAACATTCTGTCCATCAGGCCCTGATGCTGGCATGTTCAGCAGGAAAACATGAGCTGGGTGGCCCGTGATGGCCATAAGTTGCCCACAAAATCCCATATTGAAGGATGATTTAGCTTCAGTACAGCAACTGAGGAGCAAAGTATAAGTTTGGAGTGAAGGATTTAGTCCCATATTAACCATCCCTAAGAGCACATTATAAGCATCTGAAAGTCGGTGAGCTCGAAGAAAAGCACTAAGCAAAGAATTACAGGTTGGCACATTAGGATATAAGCCTGCTTGCAGCATTGATTGATACCAGTGCAGAGCTTTTTCAGCATTCCCAGCTTTACCCCACAAATCCACAAGAAGCCCGTAAACAGGTTCATCAGGAACCCAATTCTTATTTTTCATCTCAAAAAATATTGCTTCTGCCTCCTCAAGATATCCACAATGTCCGAGGACTTCCATCACTATACTGTATGTGACTTTGTCAGGCTCGTATCCTGCATTTTTCATGTCACGATAGATCTGCAGGGCAACAGGGTAGTTTCTTGCCTTCGCTTGCAAGGCAATCATGATGTTGTATGTAACAAGATTTGGGATACAGCCTGAATCAACCATCTCACAGAACAGCTTGTGAGCAGCAGCCAAGTGGCCAGCCTTTCCCAAGCAGTTGATCATAACACTGTATGTAAATGTGTCAGGAGTAAGGCCTGCTTCCTGCATCCTTTGATACATGTGCAAGGCAACATCAAGATAACCTGATTTTGCATGGATATCAATAAGTGTGCAATAGGTGACTCTGTCAGGTTCGCAACCAGCTTCCTGCATTTGGTGGAAAACACCAACTGCATCATTGAGATAGTTAGCACGCCCATAGCTATGAATCAGACGGTTGTAGGTCACTACATTAGGCTCACATCCATCCCTGGTCATCTGCTCAAGCAAGACATTAATTGCATCAAACTGCTTAGCCCGGCCCAAGATGCCCACCATAGTTGTATAAGTATGCCCATCGTGTTTAAAACCTACTCGGCGTTTCAACCAGTAGAAGAAGCCAAGTGCAGCAACATAGTCTGGAATCTGCTTCAGAACTTGATTTGCTTGATAAGCATCCATCGAGAAATTGAGATTCTCAAGTGCAACTTCTGCTGCAGGACCCCATTTCAGCCTTTTCAATATATCTAGAACAATATTAACTTGTCCAGTGCTCACAAACTGCCTAGAAAATGGAGCAGTTCCGGCCTGAGATTTATAATCCCTAGCATAATTATTGATATAGTGGGGAACTCTGCCAGTAAACTTTGTTTTTGAGGCCTGTACATTAGGGCTATTAGTATATGCTTTGGATTTCTGAGAGCTATAATTCTTCTTTTCCGATGAAACACCCTGAGTTCCTACATAGCATTTCTTTTCTGAAGCTGCACCCTGTGTTCCTATGTAGCTTTTCTTATCTGATGCTACAGCCTGACTTCCTACCGAACCTCCTACATTTCTGGTAGTCTCGTGGCTGAAAGCTTCTGCAGGCCCATGATGATCAGTTTTACCTTTAGGACCCTGATAATTCACTGAGGGGCTAGAAGCAGACTCCTTTCTCGACGAAGGTTTCTCATGTACTTCATAAAAATCTTCTTTCTTTACAGAATTTACAGATGAAGGTTTGACAGTTGATCGGGGTCTACTATGACCAACCATATAAGTTTGTGCAGAAGAAGCTGTTTCACTTCCATCTGTCAGAGGAATCTTATAACTCACAACATCTGATATAAAACCTACTGCAGCAATACCTACCTTGACCAACTGGTCTGTTATGTGAGCTGAAGACTGTGACACGTCATTCTGCTCAGAATTAATGCTGGTGGAATAACTTACACAGTCTGGTTTCCCCAAAGCGCTCGAAAGAGAGACAACTTGTGGACGAGAAGTAGAGCAGTTGCCATCTTCTGGTTTTTGAGAAGCTTTCCCTGCATCCCTTGAGACTACAGAATCTATCCTTGCAGCAGGCAAAGGCACTATGGCCGATGGTTTTGGCCGAAGCAATGTAGTCTGTCTCCTTGAAGCACATTTATCATCATCAGCGCATGAGCATGAGCTCCCATCAGCTGTACTACATCGTGATCCGCTATATAATAAGGATCTAGCACAATTGGAAAAGCTACTGATCTGCTTGGCTCGAAGCATAGCATTAAAATGCAGTCAAACCTGCAGCAAGAAGGGCGTCGTGGGTTAAGGCCAGCAAACAACATTAAAACAACAGTGCAAATGAATTAAACTTAGGCCCTATCAAATCCTAAATAGTATAATAATAAACTATAAGTCCAACAGCTCCAACCAATATAACTTAACTAATGAGACAGGTTACCAGAACATCACATAATCACTATGTGGATCCAACTAGGCTGAATCTGTCTGGAAAATATTCATTAGCATTGTGTGCAATACATAACACAAGAAAACTTAATCCACAAAGCTGTTAATAAAAAAAACTCAAATAACAGTATCCAGTGTAATTGTCTGTGCTGCAGCTAATTTCCCCCCAGCAATGACTCCAGGAAGATAGGAGAAGGGGAAAAAAAAACGTTTTAACGTTTTGGCGAATTGAAGTAGATGTATCATGCTTATCAGAAACCTGTGACAGCTTAATCTTCTATAGTTTCTAAAACATCTTGTTCAGAGACATCACCGCATCTCTGCTTGAACTGTAACACACACACATATAATGACATAACCCCAAACTCAACAAAAGACCAAACTCATACTTTTTACTAAAGAAATTAGCTCAAAGTTTTTTTTTAGAAGTCAGTCACAAGATCCTAATTATTGAAGACCCATAGTCATCTATCCCAAGGAAAAGCTCGATCCACAGACATATCCACGGTATGATATATCTGTGTTCTTCCACGTGAGGATGAAGATCAGGTCTATGTGTGAATATGAGTGTCCGAATGTAGCGTGAATAAATCCGAGTTTGTATATATCATTCATGACCAGAAGTCCAATGCTATCACATCTTTTATGATACAAGCATACAACCATATATTGTCAGTCAGTCTCAAAATTTCACACAAAAAATAAACCCAAATTTTGAACATAAATAAAGGGGGAAAATCGGAGAAAATGGAAGAGATCCAAACACTATGTTGATAGCAGCTCTCAAAAAATCGACTTCCACCAACGATCATCTTCCATTGTTACCAAATGAATTGTACCCCAAGAAAAATAATATATAAAATTGGACCCTGAGTTGCAAAAACACAGGGCATCATCAGTAAAATTGGACTTTTCTTTCATAATCCCTCAATTTTACACCAAAAAGATTATAATTTCGGACGTTTCAATCAAATTCACAACAATTCACGCAAGAAACCACAATTCAATCAAAATCCCAATCAAATCTTTCGCAATTCCCCCATTAAAAACATGAAAATCTATCAATTACAAAAGGTAAATGCAATAATCAAGAACACCCATTTGATCAAATTATGAAATCATAACAAAAAGATTGAAACTTTTGAATAAAATGTAGGCCAAAATTAGAATTAACCAAGAACAGAACAATGAAAGTGTAGAAAGTTGTTGCAAAATAAAAAAGAAAAATTACCAGAATTCGCATGTGGGTAATGAAAAATTCACGAGAAGAGAGAGAAAGAAAGGGTGATAATGTAGGCGGCTCTTCTTCTTCGCCCGCTTGCAGTCAACTCTTAGAGTTTTCTCCAAGCAAGCTGGGGAGGCTGTTAAGGTAAAGTGCTCAAAGACCTGATTTTGCTTCAGATTCTTATTGATTTTGTTTGCCCTACTTTTTTTTATTTGTTTTTCAAAAAGGGGATTTTTTTTTTAAAAAAAAAAAAAATAATACTTTTTTAACCTTTTGACCTTGTTTGTTTGGCAAAAATTTACACCTTTTTGTAATTTTTAAAACACAAATTGGTATGCAATAATTTTCTCGCAAACAGTCAAATATAGGATAGGGTGTAACTTTTAATTAATTTGGGATAATATTTAAATTGACAAAGGTAATTTTTTATCATACTTTCCGCGTTTTATTTTTTAGTTAAAATTTTAATAACGATAGCAACTTTTTTTAAAAAAATATTTATAAATTTAATTTCATATCGAGGTAACTTTTGATTGTGGATAGAGGTTTTATCTTTGATGTACAATATATCATGACATAGTCGTGTATACAATAGTATTGTCCTTGTAATATGGATGTAAAGTTGTCATGATTATAAGGATCAAAATTCACTACAATGACATTTAGATTTGTTTTGATTTACTTAACTGGACTGCTTATGAGAAAAGGAAATTAGGAAGAGAACTGATTGAAATTGAAATGAAATGAATTGAACTGAAATCAAGCTGAAGAGGACATGCCCTTAGTCATTGACATTCGTAATATACAGTGATTATATTTACTGTATAAAGCTAACTTCCTAATATACAATAATACAGGTTTAAAATTATCCAAATAACCCTAAAATTAAACGTTGATTAGAATCCCTATTGCATAACCATAAAAAAGAAATCCTATTGCAAAAGTTTTCTCGTTTATTGCAGTGAGCCCACCACCCTAATTGATTGTTTATGTGGCTAATTAGCAATGGTTAATTAAATTTCTGGTGTAGTTTTCTTGTAATTTGTGGTCAGTGTCGTGTATCACGTATTCAATCTTGTTGTTCACACAATTATACCTCCGTACAACTTAACAGCTAACCACTTGTGCAGTTAAAGAGCTCTGACCGTGGCTACGTTATTACGCGTTATCGATAAATGGGCCTTGGGCCTAAGGCCCATCACTTGTTAATCCAGTCCGATCCATAAATCTTAAAATTTGGCCTCTTTTAAGTTTTAACGCTGCACCTTACTTTGTAATTTTGTATCGCCTCTGAATCGTTTTCTATTGAAGTGGCTTCTCAGCTTTATCTCCTTCATTCAACCAATTTCTGAGGTAATTTTTTATTTCTGGTTTTTTTTTTAACAAAAAACATCGAGTATCAATTTCACTATTTAAGGTTTATCGTTAACTTAACTTCCTTAATTAAGGGTTTATAGTTAATTTTCGCAATTTAGGGCTTTTTCTAAGGTGGATTATTGAACTATTGGTTATTATATCTGAATTTATGAAGATTATAACGAAAAAGATTAGATTTTTCGGTGAATTATGAACCCTATTTTGGTAATTGGGTCAAATTTGGTTGCTAAAGTATTGCATTTGCTTTCTTTTGTTTATAATCTTTCAATTTTAGTTAGAAAGTATGAAATTGGAACATTTCACACTCATTGGAGCTGGTTTGATCAATCCTAATAATTATTGAAAGCAATTCTGAAAGAATAAATCGATGAAATGATCAAATGTCGAAAAGAAAATTTGAACATAAAGAGTATAGTAGAGGGGAAGAGTGATGTTTCGTTGCATAATATAGAGTATCTAATAATGCATACATTTGTTTATTTAAAGCATCACTTAATTGATTCATGTTATGATTTTGGAACTCGGTGTTTAGTTAATTGGCAATGTACTGATTCTGTGTGCTAAGGTTTTTCTGGTTGAAATTAGAATGGCTGAAGACAGAAATATTAAGAATTAAATATCTCATCTTCTGATGGAAAATGTGTTGTACTTTTACATTCGTCAGCTTTTAATTGTTCGTCTTTTGAGTGAGTGTTTATAGTTCGTGCCTCTTTAAACGAAGTCCCTCTTTCTAGTTTTTCCCTGCAAGATTGTGATTCTGAAATCAGATGATAAATTGAGTTGAAATCGTCTAACATTTTTTTATAAGCGGTTAAGGTAAAACGGCAACTCCTGAGATAGCAAAAAGTTGTCCATTAGACTTCCGCAAGGAACAAAGGCTGTTAATTTACAAAATCCTAATCTTAAGACATTTTGTAAATCAACGCCAAGGCTGAGGTTGAGGGTTCAAGTCCCTCCTTCCGCTCCTGGCTTCGCAGGGTATATTTCTTAGCAGAGAAGTCTGAAGTCTTTCAAAAGTTATCATTGTGTTTTGTCTCTGAGAATATGAATTGGAGATTTGGTTGATAGTGTTCTAGTGTTTTATTTAAGTCGAGAATACAATTTAGAGTAAGTGGTTGATTGTGTTTAGCTGTTTTGATGTGGAAAAAAAAATCTCCCCCTCCTCCTACCTCGCTCTCCCTCACTCACTTAGGTAGGATCTTTGAGTTGTTTACCGGGGATATTTAATTGTTGCATGAAGTAATGAACCTTTCTTTCATTTTAGTTCTCTGACATTGGGTTTTGCCTTGCTCTTTTGGTTGGGGTTCATTGGTTAGGAAGTTTATTATGGAAAATCAAATCTTTGATTTTTCTGTGCTTCATATGTGCTTGTATAACAAGATTATGTATAGTGTAGCTTTTTTTGGAGTCAAATAAGAGACGGGGCTACATCGGGGCCTAAGGAGGCCAAGGCCCCTGTCAACATTCTTAAATCGTATTAAAATTTTACCAATCTGACCACAATCATAATGAAAGTTTTTATTAGAGTGGTAGCGGAGCACGCTTAAAATGATGCCTTTGGTTTTAAATTGCATGGATGAAATATGTGTATTTATCTAGAAGAGCATTCATTTTATTTATCTATATTTTCTTCAAATAAAACTACAAGTATATCATTTTCCTAAAATAAGGAATATTATTTTCGGTTTGCTGCTTTTTTTTTTAATCTTATTTTCATGGATCACTACTATATTCATATATTTGTTTCTAGTAAAAAAGAAAAATAAGTGTATAACTTGATAACATATAACATTAGGCCCCACCAGAATAGAGTTTTGGCTTCGCCCTTGAGCCCCACAATTTGACTTGGAGATTCTTGGATGCAATTTTGTACCCTTGTAATATCAGACTAGGTCGCTTTGGTTTTGCTCGAACAATAGTATTGATAAGGTAAAAAGGGTAAAAATTAGTTCAAATTTAACCTCGTTCATTGATTTTTTGGTGCTTTGGCTGGGCAAAGGGGTAAAGAGGGAATAAAAACCTTACCTTTGTCCATAGAGGGGAAATGCAGAAACAGAAAGATGTGATAAGAGAAAATGAGCAGAAAGAGAGTTTCTAAATGAGGAGTAACTTTTCTGTCCTCAAACTGCACAATTTTCAGTTTGTGCTATGATTTTGGTGGAACACTGAGCAATTGCGGTGTATGTCTTTCACTTTTTGATTTTGCAGGTGTCCATCTTGTATTCTTGTCTTCTAAATTCTTCTTCAAGAATGGAATTTTGTCCCACTTGTGCGAATTTGCTGCAATATGAAATGACAAATCCTGCTAGATTCTTTTGTCGGTCTTGCCATTACATTTCTCCTATAGAGAGAAAGGTATGTATTTATGTATCAGCTGTTCTGATAGATCTTTGTTATTTCTGTAAATATGTGTTAATAGTTAGAACATTACTCCTTAATGGTTTCAGGTGAAAATTAAGAGAGGGGTGCAACTGACCAATAAAGCGGCAACACCTATCATCGTGGGGAAAAAACCTGTTGGGGCTACTACTGATGGTATGCAAATCCTTTTCTATACTTCTGAGTGGCAATATAGTGTGTTCCCTCTACATAGTAACTTAACATGCTGGTAATTAACAAGTTTTTAATAAACAAGAACTTTTTGTATAGATTCTACTAGAATTTCTAGGCCTATGTGATTTTTATTACTTTATTTTTCAGCTATTAAAATACTTGAAGAGCAGTAATGGTGTATGAATTTCGTTGTAAAGAAATTTGATTTTTAATGTCTTACCTTTGTAATGTCTTACCTGTACATGAGAGGTGGTGTTATAAAACGTTAAGCAGCAATGCTACTTGCTTTTCAAATTTAGGATATTGCTTCATCAAGGGTGATGAATTAGTCTAGTACATCGGACTGAACCCTCTTTAGAAAACTTGCCTCACCCATGTTGAACTTTGGAGTGTATTTGATGATACTGCTGATAGTATCCCAATAACTCTGCTGGTAAATAATAATGTTACTATGTGCGTATAATTGCATCGATAGGTTGAAATCTACCCATGATTTATTTTTGTTTTTTCAGTCCTTTGGTTTAGCAACATTTTGTTTGATCTAGTTGTGTTTGGTTCATATGGCCACATCTCCTGTTAAATTGAAGATGGTTTGTTTGATCAAATTTTGTTTGCTTCAGTTGGCTTACATTTAGCCACACTTATAGAAGCAAAGATGATTGGTAAACTATTGCGAGTTGAGAATTTATGCAGGAGCTATGGGGTAATATGAAACTGACAAGTATGCTTGTATCTAATGATTGGCTCCACTATTGTTCATTTATGCTTGCTTCGCCCTAGTTTCTTGCAGTAGTATGTAACGTGCATGCAAAATATTAAATTGACTAGCTAAATCACAACTAACAATATGTTTTATTTTCAGCTACTTGTCCAAAATGTGGTCATGGTCAAGCAGAATTTAACCAGGTTCAAACCAGATCAGCTGATGAACCCATGACAATATATTACAGATGCTTGAATGAGGGGTGTGGACATAATTGGAAAGAGGATTAGTCACATTATTTCATCACTTGTCACCTGTTCTTTGTGAAGGTTTGGTGAGCAATCACGTCCTTTTCCTTCATGGTTGTTTTGTTTCCTTATTATAGAATTTACCTTTTTCTTCACACAGGCAAATTTTGCTTCTGGAGCTAGCTTATGGTTTTCTTACTCAGATTTCATCTTGTAGTTCGTTATGGAAGACACATGTAAAGGGCTATGAGCTTACTTTTGGAATTTGCGTATGACTGTCAGCGTTTGAGACTGCAATACCGATTCTTGACATCCTGGTTTGCAGTATTTACTGAAATTCAAGGTTATGTTTGGTTTAGAAAAAAAAAAATCTTTTCAAACCCAAATTTCATTATCTGGTTTGGTTTCTTGCTAGAAAATTAAAGACATGAAAGGAAGAAGAAAGATGGAGGGGATGGATGAAAGATCTGAGTATGAGAAGGAAAATGTGGCATCCCTTTCTCAAATACGGACTGTTTTCTACCCTTTGACAAACTATTTGTTACCCAAGAGAATTTTATCACCCCTTTATGAATCAAACTGAGGTAAAATTACTGTTCATTTCAACTAAAGTAGAACCCAAATGAACGAATGATGCTTGATTGCATGATCTTGTTGCTATCATAGCAAACATGTCTGGGTTAATAGCGGATGGCTGCGACTTTTTAAGAAGTTTTTCGGATAATGATGAAAGTGAAGAATTAAGGTGCTCATTTGCTTTAATTAAATTAGTAAATGTTTGCTGCTCTGAAGTTTTAATATTATGTCATTCCTCACTTCAGTATCGATAGTCATTTACTCGTTTGAGAATACAATAATGTTGGGATTACTTGCAGTATATCACTGGTATGATCAAAGTATATATTATTATGATGTTGTGAGGGATTATTTGTTTTATCAACTTCTCATTTTTTTTTTCCTAAAGACATGCTAGAACAGTAAAAGAGAGTTATAAAACTAGGGCCATTAACAACCTTCACACTTGAGCTGTAATTCGAAATTCTATCTATGAAAACGACAATGATTTATACACCTAAATGTTGATCGAATTAGGCGTGGACTGTTTGATCCAACTTGCTTCTTTTTCAGCCTTTTTCGTTTATAACATACAATACATCCAATAACATAGAATTACTTGCTTATAGACTTTAGATATAAGTAGTTAAGAAACTAAAATGTTTAGCTTACTGAAATGTAAGTTGTCATCTTAATGTCTTCATCAGTTTACTGCTTTACATTGCAACATTATTTATGATACTAGTAGAAAAATGGATAGGAAAGGAGGAGCAGCATGTTTAGTGGTTTTTAAATACTGGGCACTCAAGTTTGGCAAGCTATTAAATACTCTTTTACTCTTTCCGTCCCATAACACAGTGCTAGTTTCTCATTTCTTCGGAAATTAAGAAAGGCGGAGTATGAAAATATATTTAAAATAGATGAAATATTAAGGAAATTATGGCATTCTTGATTCTCATGTCAAATTTGTAGCTTTGTTGTGCTTTATGTACCATCATAATGACTACTCCAAAACAATGCAAGTTTAATTCAATGCAAGTTTAATTGTATACTCCCTTGTTTCCTAGAGTTGTTCTAGTTAACTAGTTTAATTTGCACGTTATACAATGTTAAGTTGTTTACAATGAAGCAAAATTCTCTTATATCCAATTATGTTACAAATTACATCATATTTACAATATTTTCAAAAATAATATTAATTTAGAAATGCATGTCAAAATTACGCATTAATCGGACTGATTATGTTAGACATATGAGATATCGAAAAATAATATCTTAACATAAAATAAACCTAAATATATTATTCTCTATTTTTTTGATATCTCAAATCTCTAATAGATTTATGTTCATTTTAATTCAATGTTTCTATTTTTGTTATGTTATCCAAGTTCCACCAGTTCCTTTGCTTTTGCCATACATGTGCTGTGGAATTGTGGATCAAGATGTACTGAACTACTGATATAGGGAGGATTGAAGATACAGGATAGTATATAAAATTCCAAAAGTATTCACATTTTTTGTTTGAAAAAAAAAACAATTGTAAAAGGCGTAAACTAAAAAAAAAAAATGTAAATGAAGATAATTTTGTACCAAAGTAGGGCCAATTAGACCTTTTATGATTAGAAAAATCACAGGAAAAAAATGAATAGGCTGTAAAGTAAGAAGAAAGCAACAGGAACTTTATAGTTGCAAAAAAAATCCCATAATTATGATGATGAAGCTAGCATAATTATGCACTCACGTTTGTTACAACCTTTTTTGGTTGATTGAATTCCCCTAAATTTTTGCATGAAATGATTAAGCCTTTCTCCTAGCGTTTTTGGCAATCAGCCTTACGTTGCCAGGGTATAAAGTTGTAAATTTTGTGTATAATAATGTCCTACACATTGCTCTTACATTGTCCTTCTTTTCTTGCATTGTTTTTCATCCTTTTGCACGCATGTTTTGGCCGAAGTACTAGTACTTGCATGGTCGCGTTTGCCAAGCATTTTTCGGATGTCCGAGAATTTAATTGGTTTTCTCTTCGTATATAAAATTCTTCTAGTAATTTATAGAGACCGTAGTGTATGTATTTGATCTCGTAGCTATATATTTTCGTCATATTTGCATAAAAAAAAAATATTTTTGTCGTATAATTTATGAAGGTACTTAATTTTAAGAATAATGTATGAGAAGTTTTAAGCTAAGATATTACGTTTTTTTAAAAGAAATGTAGTTTGTTTTATTTGGAAATGAAGGAATTAATTACGTTTTGATGTAAGATTCCATGCAATATCTTGATCCAGTATGAATTGAGCTAATTATTTTTAAAATTGTAGATTAAATTTTAAACAACTATCTCAAAAGCTATTTAATTTCTAACTTCAAAAGTTATTATTTCTAACTTTTCATAAAACCTACCTCCACCATTAAAAGCTACCCTAACTACTACTAAACCATTAAAAGCTACTCAAAAGCTAGCGCCGAACATTCCCTACAGTAAAACACGACTTTGGCTAGACTTAGCATGCATAATGTATGTGACATTATGCATACATGATACATTATTATTTGGACTTAGCATAATGTAAATGTGACACAACTTGTGCACACTCTCATATTCATTACTTAGGATTCAAATGAGTACATATTGAATATTTTGATTAAAATGTGAAAACTTGATTTTCCAATATTAGAATTGCTGTTTTAGTGGGTACGTAACATGGTTGAAATTATTCTTTTTAATTCACCAATTTTCAATAACCTAGATATATATAGCATGGTAGTTGAAATTATTCTTTGTTTATACATATGATCCTTAGGTAGTTCATGTGGTTAATGTCAAATTTAGACAATAAAATTTGACTAATATATTGAATTTAATGAGACATATAATTACATTGAAATCTAGCTACTAATTGATCATCATGTCCCTCTTTCAATGTCATTGTGGTGGCACGAAACTCCCAAGCTTATAAATTTATTTTGTAGAAGGATACATTCTTTTTCTATATAGACACACTCACACTGTCACACACGACCTTAATATATGTATATGAAAATAATTGTACTTTATAATTTAGGCCATGTTCCATTCTTTCACCATAATATAAAAGTTATGATTTCGTAAAAATAATCTTGGGTTAGTACATTAAGTTAGTTTTACTAGCAAGGAGTATAAATAATTTACAATAGGTATAAAGTAGTTAAATAAGTAAAATAAATAATTGTAATTAATAATAAAACATCAATAAACTCATACAAAAAATAACTCACTTCGTTACATTTTCATTTTGGGTGTTTAAAAAAGACAGTCCTATTTCTATTTTGGTGCAATTTTTTTGACCATTATATTCTCGTTATTAGATAAGAATTTCTTGGTTTTTAAATACATAATCTATTTCGCTCTAAAAGAAATTATTTAAGTTAAAATCAAATGAGATGAACTAGTCCTTAAAAAAAATGATTTGAACAAGACTTATGATTAGCTCATTTTATTTTGTATTACTAAATTTTTGTAAGTAGAAGATTTTTGTGATGAAATCGTCATACTCACTCCCTTACACAAGTAGTAAAATCATATGCACATATACCTATTACTTTAAACAATCAAGAGTAATCATGCATGATGCATCCTAGATATCTCTTTTCTCTAATTTTATTATGCAAGTAAGTACTACTCTAAACAGAAAATTGTCTCTTTAGTAGTACAAGTAGCTAATAAATGAGAAAAATACACACAAAGTAACAAACAACTTTAATTTCTAAATAAAAAAAAAAAAATCTAGATATTTCTCATTAGTGAATTGTTACACCTTATACTTGCAACATGAAGGTTTATTTTGTCTTCTTTGTAATTAAGCCAAGTAACCTATGTAGAAAATGATAAAAAGATGTCTTATCTGTTTAAATTATTTGCTTGCTTTTCATCTCTAAGCTAATTGAAATTCAAAGAAAAATGGGTTAGTTGGTTAATCAAAGGAGCTTTGCATATCATTATCATGTTGATGTCCAAGGCCACATAAAACAATTTAACAATGAAAAATGATTCAATCAGATCATCAATGTAATCAACTTTAATTATTTAGGACCAGGTGAAACCTTATCCCTAGGTACTAAATAATTACTTCTTTTTTTTTTCTTTTTGTTATTTTTAAGAGAATAATTAATCACTTTTACTTTTTTACAAAAGCATTGGTAAAACCATAGTAATCAATCTTTCTCTATCTATATTCTATCTTTCTTATATACTTTGTACTTTGATCGCATTTATGCTCCGTAACTAATATATATATATATACAGAAAAATCAACATTATCAATTCTAGTGTATTGTGATATACGAGTACTTAGATTTATTTAATGCGTATATTAGAATATATTATAAATTTTTTTAGCACTCCGTAATTTGTAATGAAGTATATAATGTCAAAATTATGCGTGAAAACTGTTAAAAGTCAAATGTTACAGTTTATTTAGAGCAAAGTGAGTACACTAATTAATTACAGGTCGATCACCCACTTTAATATAAGACAAAAGAATTACTTCGTTCATAAACAATTCTACTTGGGCGCCTTACATATATATACTCCTATAATCCTATTTGACGTATTTATGAAACAAACAACCAATCTACTCTCCTAGTTTAGAACTAGAAGTAAAACGCAAACTCCAAAATCCAACCACTGCATTAAAAGATTAGTTGTTGATAATTGACACAAAAATTAAATATTTAGGTCTTATCCCTCAATATATAGTGAGTTGGTGAGAAAGAATTAAAGAATTACATTAATTAAAACAAGGCACTATCTTAGTGAGTAGTAACCTTAATTAACTGCTAAATTTCATATATATGTCATGCTTTTAAAAATATCTGAAAGATCATTAAAATCTGTTACTCAATATTTTATGAATGTGAAAAATATTTATTATTACATGAAAAAAATGGTCTAGGTCAACGGCCAAATTGTGGTGTAATACATTATTGGTAAACAACTTCAACAAAAATGGTTTAGTTAAGTCTTTGGTGTTTCTGTAAGATGTTTGACATTTGGCAACACGAAACTTCCATGCAAAGAATTTCAAGTTATGCTGATGAAATCCGTGGATTTCAGCATTTCACAAGTACAATTTGACTCCTACGGAACCTTCTTTTATTTGGCCGTGTAACATATAATAGAATTGTTAGATTATAGGATTATACGTACTCCATTGAATTGATACTCTTATTCATGCTTTTTCAACAAATTATTGCGGCTTTTTAATGGATAAATTTGCGTCTTAAACCATTTTTACGAAGACACTTAAATTGGAGTTCCAAAACAGACAAGTCCTACTTGTTTGATAATTGAATTAAATTGAAGATACATAAATTTATTT